ATATATATATATATATATATATATATATATTGCTTGGTGTTACATAGTGGTTATTGTGTCAAACTGGGGATATACGAGTCGATGGTTCACATTACATTGTTTTCAAAAAATTTTTTAAATGTTCTCTGCATTTTGGGGCCATGAGTGTATTATAAGGGTGATGGTCAAATCCCATTATTTAACTAGAATAGCCTAAGAAGTGGATGCTTTTAATAGCTGCCTTCTCTCTAGATTATTGGTTCAAAATTAGGGATGGTCAGCATAGTATAGCTCCAAGTGAGTATCTGAAACAATACAAACTATTTTAATATAATATTTGCTAAAAGAAATAATCTTGTGATATTTTGTGATTTACATAGTTTCTTAAGTTAATTCATGCTCATATGTAGTTATTTTCTGTTATATTTATTATATTGTTACGACAGCGGAAGTCACGTGATGCTGCTAGTGCATTGCCACTGGTTGCATGTGTGATGAGTTTCTCGAATTATCGGGGATGTCCGAACTTGTTTGAGATGACCTCTTCGTTAGTATATAAGCCTGGCAGAGAAAGCCAGCAGGGATATATGAATGAAGAGAGAGCAGTAGTTACTTTGAGTTCCATGTAATTTATGATTCTGTTAGTTTTGAGCTAGTGAGCCGTAAAGTGTATATTTTACACTTGTCGAGAGCGAAGTTATCGAGCTTGTGAATCGCTGTGATTTATAGCATGTATTATAAAAGTTAAGTTTAAAGTGACAAGAAACGTACTGATTGTGTAACTACTGTGTACTAAAACTTTGTATCGTGGAAGAATAAACTGGTTTAATTAAGAAAGAACTTGTAGCACTGAAGATCCTCAGAAAGAATTTCTATCAGAAACAAACAAACAAGCAGATACGCAACTATATATATATTAATATACACACACATATATGTATATTAAATCTCAAATGTAATTCAAACTGTGGAACGACAAAACCTATGGGAGTAAAAATAAGTGTTAAAAAATCTACAAAGTCATGAGTGGTGTGTAGCCATTGTTTAAATTTTTCTAGTGTTCACTGTGGAGTTTATTTGATGAACCGTTTTGTATTAGCTTAATGTATATTTTTTGTTTTAATACATCTTTTAGTGACAAAAGTAAGGGATATTTCAAGCTCCACACACATTTTAGTACAACATGGAGAAATGTTATTTTCATTTATAAATATTAAACTATTTTTCATACTACAGTTGGAAAAAACCATGAATGAAGTAGCATTTCTTTTACATGTGTTTAATTACTAAGACTGCTGATAATGTATATTCTCTGATTTTGTGTTCTTTGGTGCCTTTGTGAAAAATATTTTTTTTTAAATCTTTTATGGCTAATGTCTAAGGAACAAGGTTTAATTGATTTTGTTCTTGTTTTAGCTAGAAACAGCAAAATCTGCAGTTAAACGGCTGAAGACTCTGAGACATCCCAATATACTAACTTACATTGATAGTTTAGAGGTAGGTAAATAATGAATATAGAAATTATACTACTTTTTTATTTAACTTTCTATTTAGTGAGACTTTTATTGTTAGTCTAGGTGGCTTAAAATGTTCAGATGTGATGGGTATATCCAGTATGGTTTAATACAGCTCTCAAAACAATTAAGGGATGATCAAAATCTGTAATGTTATAACTATGACAAGGCAAACGCTAGTGTTAGAAAATATTTCAGTCATCCCTTTCAGCTCATTGTTATAAAAACTAGGTATATGATGCTCAGTTATATGATCTGAAATGTAAATTTTTGGTCATTCAGTCTATCCTATATATGCATATGTATATAAATATAAGATGGTTTAAATCATTGTTTTGAAGTGAATTACAGAGCTTAGAATAATCCAAATTGTTTTTGAACTGTGGCTAGACCTCACAAAAGAATTACAAATGTGTTACTTAAGTGGAAAACCATTGAACAAAAGGAAGTCAGCCATTCACAAAATGTTTTTGTCTGGGCATATGTGGAGAGGACGTTCTTCACTGAACAATCAGTGGTTGTATGACCTACAGGAGAATGAGTCAGTAGCTCAGATAGGACAGATTGCAGAAAGGATAGTGAGAAATGGGGGGAGCTGTCTCCTGGTTCTAGGGTTTCACTGTTTCTACAAAGGTCCGTGACACCATTGCATTGTAGCTGTAAGCCCAGCATGGAGAATGACAATTATCTGGAGCACCCAAAGAGTCTGATAAACTTCTTCCCCTGAGATTTAGGTTTGACAGTGGTGGAATCGAATAACTGAATGTCCCGGGGGTGGCAGGCAGATTAAGGTGTCCAAGACTCTGTGGATTGGTCTTTATAAAACCTCTAGATATTCACCCCCCAAAAAATAAAAAAAAACAGAACCCTGCCTTTGGCTGATGCCACCCATGGGAACTAGGGGAGAAGTGCAGCCAGTAGATGAGCTCCATCAACATCATCTGTTTTGCTTAATGTTGAGGCTGTTGGTGGATGAGCTCTACTATCAGGAGCTGTTTTGGCAGTATGTTAGATGGTGGGCTTTAGTGCAAGAAATCAATGATTGGTAATGTAGTAGGTAGCTTTTCTGTGATGGAAGGTTTCTAGGCCTACCAGCAGTAGGGAGTGAATGAATGCTATCAGCATGAGCTGTACAGATGATTGGCAATGCAGTGAGTACTTGTGGAGGAGGAAGATGAAAGGATGGAATAAGAGGGACATTCATCACGAAGGGGAGAGAGTTATTGAACTGAAGAGCAACCAGGTGTCTGGTAAGATCTGCAGAGGAGGTGTGGCCAGTATCTTATCATTCAGAGATTCTGGGATCAAGAATTAACACTCACTAGAGTGTGGGTGCTACCAGATATTTCTTACTCAATAACACCTCATCATTGCTAGGAATTATTGGTCTCAGGAAAAGGTGATACAATGTCTGATTCTAAGCTTAGACAGCCTGGCCCTTGGTGTTGCTGTGTATTTTATGGAGGTACGTTTTGCTGACTGGGAAACAGTCCTGGCCAACTTGCATCAATGCTTTGACCTAGTGGAGAACTGAACCCTCCACCAGGCTGAAATCAGGACTCATAAGAGTGGTCCCTTGAAGAACTTGAGTGCCTTCACTGATGGTCTATTCTGGTTACAGAGAAAGTCATGCATACCCGGCAATGGCATTGGCAGATCACAAGGACATCGTTGTAGACAAATTTGTCAAGGGACATCCAAGTAAGGCTACGGGGCATCATTTAGGAATATGGGATATATGTACCTTTATTGAGTGATATCAGTGGTTATCTTAGCAAAGTTGTTAGAAAAGAAAAGACCAATGGCAGCAGCTGTTGTGGTACTCCTGAGTATGACCCACCATGTTCAAGCTGGTGCCTCCCATTAACCTTGGGTTCTGCCAAGAATGGAACCACAGCCAACACCTCAAGGTGTCATGCCACAAGCAAACTAGTATCCAGTGAATAGGCAGGGTTGCTCATCTTCTTCCCTGTTGCTTGTGTCCCAGCAAGTACAGCCAGTGCTTTATTCCACATGTTACTTTAAAAGGGAGGACCCAGTCATCTGTTAAGGTTGTGGGCTGCAGAGGCATTTCCACCCCACATCTTACCAGGCAACAAGATATACAGATTTTTCCAACCTGATTGTCTGAACAATAAATGCATGAGAGCCAGCAGGGAGCTGTTGGTGCAGTTGCTCAAGCTCTAGAAAACTAACAGAGCCTGACTGATGGTTGTTGGTATGCACCTGCAAGATTGCACAGTGGGACAGTGGAGTTCCTGGTTGACAGAGGCACTGGTGACTACCTTGAATCAAGCACTTCAAGTAAAATGCCACTTTAGCCAATGGATACTCACTTTGTTCTATGAAAGGTAGAATTCTAGGTGTGTATGTAAAAGTATGTTTCCAACTATGTCTAGTCCACGCAAACCATAGAATGAAGATCAGTTTTGCAGTACTTGGGTCTGGCTTTGACATCCTTAAAATGGACATACTGTACAGGCTTTCTTCTAAATTGAGTTTTGGTGAGAAATCCTTCCAGTCCTGGTCATAAATTATCCATGGACAGTGGACTGCTTGTGTATATGTAAAGGGTTATTTTAACATGGTTTATTTTTGATCCAGATAGATGTTGTGAATCTAGCATAACCTGCTTATTTTTAATTCAGATTCATGAAACTGTGTAGGCAATAACTTTATATTTCATGATACCGTACTTACTTTATCTTTAATTCAAGATATAAAAAACAGTAATATTTGGTGACTCCAGCACAGTTTGATCTTTTAATCCACAAAGGTTATGATGATTACAGCATGCTTTGATCTTTAAATAAAGATTCATAAATTAATGGTACTTTTGCAAATTGTTTTTGATCCAGACAGTGCTTGTCTAATTCAGACAAATTAAATACTTTCTGATTGAATTTCTTTAATTAAGAATGATGATGGTGTACTTGATATTTTAGTTAATGATATAATGTTTTAATTTATGTATTTTATTGGTGACTAGTATAATGTTTTTTTCTGCAAATCCAGACAGATAAGATAGTGTACTTGGTTACTGAACCAGTGGAAACTTTGGAACGCCACCTGGCAGATGAAGATGTTTACACCGAAAGTCAGAAAAAGCTTGCGATTTCTTGGGGTCTTCATCAAGTTGTGGTAAGTCTTATGTCAGCAAAGTGATGTCCAAATGTTACTATTGTTATGTAAAATTCTGATATTTAGTACACTCATTAAGATTACTGTAGACTTGTTTGATAATTTTATTTATTTTGTGATAACATAATAAGTTTGTGCTCAAAGTTTCATAATTTCGTCTTTATTTGTGTTTTTCAAGTATGCATGACATGTTTTTTTTTGTTGTTAATGTTTAAGTCTTTATGCTGAGGACTTTTTTCAAGCCTTCTTTAACTTTAAAAAGGCCTCAGCATAGAGACCAAAATGTCATGAAAAGAAAACATCAGCTATTTTCCTGTCCATTGAAGATTCTTAAGATTGTATAATCTTTCCTTCACTGAGAGTTTCATGACAAAGTACAACAACATGGTAAAACATCCAATGAACATATAGTTTCTATGTAAGCTGACTTATGTTTTAGTATATTGTATAATCTGATGTATGATTTTGTTTGTTATTTAGAAAAACAGTTGTGTACAAACTGTTTTAGATTTTTAGTTTTGCAAATTCTAAGGTAGACAAAGAGAAATTTCCTAAGTGATATTTGAGTTTAATAATTTTGGATTATCTTCCTTTAGAAAGGCCTGAGTTTTCTCATCAATGATTGCAGTCTGGCACACAATAATGTCTGTTTATCATCAGTTTTTGTGGACCAAGCAGGTAACTGGCGACTTGCAGGCATAGAATACATGTCACCAGTTTCAGATCCACCCCCTTTCAAATCTGTTCGCTACCTGGAGAGGTATAACACCCCAGAAAGAGCTGATCCTGCCAGAAAAAAAGTTACTAAGTGGTAAATTAGATAACATAAAATTTATTTTTTCCTGTAATTGTAACTCAATTGATGGGTGGATTTTGTACTTTAGTTTTGTAAAAACTGATAGAGTAAAAGAACTGGTAAGTTAAATTAAGTAACTTTTATCGTCTTAGCATAACGATGATTTTTTATTAGAGTATATAAATTATTCTAAACTTTTAAAAAACAAAAGGTGACTTTTAAAGAACATAATGATCTGTTGACTTCAATAAACAATTAGGTGAGTTACATATATATCTGTATACAGAGATAGAGTTGATGATAAATTCTAAAAGAAAGACATGTTACATTAAAAATTTTGCTTTGAAAAAAACTCAAACAGTAATATATTTGGTTATATTGACTTCACTTGATTTTTTTTATGAGTAGCAATGAGATAGCTTAGATGATTCAACACAATGACAAGAATATTTTCTCATGCAAAAAAGTTATTCATATGTTTCAATAACAGCTTGGTGTTGAAGCATCTTCAACTGATTATTAATATACATACCAGAAAATATAAGATTTTTGCCAACCTTTTATATTTTTGGCAATTTTTCAAAACATATTTTTTTGACAATGCAAAGTGAATCGCAACTAACCCGAGTTGTAAATGGAAGATTGATTAACTTTCTTACCCTTTATAAAACACTGTTTTAATCATTTGAATTTGATTGGAAACAAAAAACGGCAATGATTAAGAACTTACTGATTTCATATTTTTTATTGTTGCCATAGATGCGAGTTCTTTGCATTTACTCTATTTTTGGAGCAAAATAGGATAGTATATTAGGACCCCTTAGTTTATATCGATAGAACAGGTGGGAGCAATGTTGTGGTCCTAATTGTAATTGAAACTCAGAGCTCTTTGTTGAAACAACCATATTTTTTATTATAGTTAATATCTCAGTCTGATTGAAATTTGTAGTATGAACAAAGCAAAGACACATGGAAAATATCACAGAATTCCCAGACACCCTGTAAACTTTCTGGAGTAACTGGAAGTCATAACACTGGAAGAGCTGGGATAAATGAGGAGTTACTGTATTCTGTTGTGTCAGTTTTAAACATTTGGATGAATTTTAAATAATTTGATTAGGCAATGTGATTGATACAGTTGTGTCAGAAAGCTTACCTATGTAAGGTTTAGTGTATAGAAGATGATGACATCTAATAATAAAACAGAAAAAGATCCCTAACTGGTACTGTATATTTTTAGACTCATTAATGTTTATCACCCTTTTCAGAATCAACTCATATTTCTGATTTCATCTTGAAAAAGTTTTAATATTTCTGATTTTTCAAAGTTAGCAAGTATGTTCATAAACTTGTAGCTTTTCGTTTTGCAATACAAGTTTGTTACATGTAGGGAATAATTTTGACTTGTGGTTGTATAACAAAAACACAATAGATGAGGAAAATAAAGTAAGAAAACAGGTAAACATAAATTAAGAACTTTGGAGTTAGCTGAAACATGGCTTTAGTTTTTTTTGGTCATTCTGTTTAATTTCACTACACACAAGAGAGAAAAGAATTTTGCTGTCATACATAAGTATTCAAGCTATAAACATAAAGTTTTGTTTTAATTCTGGTATGTTGCTAATAAAGTTTATTTTACATACATACATATATATACAATTACAAAACTGGAGAATATATATTGTTTCTTACTATAAAGTGGTGTGTGCTGGGGTGTGGATTGGAAGGTTTGAGCCACAGCATGATTATGAACATATTCTGCACTTTCAGCTGTGGGGGTACTATAATTGTGACAGCCTAACTACAATTCGGTTAAAGGTAGTTCTAAATTTGGGCGTGCTATGTACGTCTAGACCTTAGTAGTTTATGACCTGCCTATTTAGCACATGTATCACATAAGGTTTTGTTCAAGGTCAAAATACTTGTATTAGTGTTTTCTGTATAACAACTCCCGTCTAAAATTTAAAAGAAAAAGAAATCAAATTCATATGTTTATAAATATATTTATAGTCTTTTTTTTTAGCTAAAATTAAATAGTAGCATGAGTAAATATTGATTGGGATAGTGATTATGACTGTATGCTGTATTAGGTGTTAAATGAAGACCTAGCTGTCTCAAGTGTACATGCACACACACACACACTCATATTGACATTTCAAGTATGTTTATCATATTTTCTGTATTTATTCTATTAAAGGTAATACCATCAACAGTGTAAAACACAAAAAGAGTAAGAATTAGTCCAGTCATGAGTAACTTGAGAATGTAATAAGTCTATATTACAATCAAATTATATTTTTGAAATTAAATACACTAGAGATTTTATATGTTAGGCAAATATTTTTGTATACATTTGTATATAAAAACAATAATTACAACTTATTAAGAGAAATATTCACCAAGAGTGTAATTTATCCAACCAGTTTAATATTTATAAATGCATTTTGAAATGCATTAGGTCCACAGACAGTTGGGGTTTAGGCTGTCTTATATGGGAAGTCTTCAATGGTCCTCTTCCAAAACCCACATCTCTGAAGTCTTTTGGCAAGGTAGGAATAATACGTGTATTTCTTTGTTTTTGATCACGAAAAAAAATCCTTTATATTTGTGGGTTATTCTATTCTGTATAAATTACATTAATATCCCAGATAAATTATGATAGTTATAAAACACTCTACTTTTTGCATGTCTGTATTCTTTGGTGCATTATTTAATTATATAAATTATTTAGTGCAGTAGTACTATTAGTATAAAAGAGTAGGGTTGAGTTTCATTGATTGTCGACAGTGAGCTACACGTTTGCCTAGTGATTTACAACTTGTGTGGTGAGAATGTTAGTTAGACGTGGTTCAAAGGGCAATGAAACAATAAAATTTAAGTTTAAAGCTACTTAGGATAAACAAATGTAGTTTCATGTTACAATTAGAAGTTATTCTAGAAAGAAAAAAGGATAATTTAGATTGATTTCAATTTTTTTTATGAGGTTGTTTAACACTGACCAACCTTGTATAGAGTTAGGGTAGAGAAAATAACAGATAGAATATAAAGTTTTACTGAAAAAAACATTTGAAATTGATTCAGGAGGTTTTGGAGATTATGCAAATGTAATCTGAGATTTTTCAGATGAAGAAAAGTATTTTTAATCTTAACATGAAAATCACTTTGGACTTGGAGCAGTCAGCACTTTGACTCCATATATTCATGGAGAAGTTTTTAGTGAAAATACTTCATTAAAAATTCTGATTTTTTTGTTTCCAAGTGACTTAATAATTACCAAAAGCTTGTGAAATTTCATGAAAATACACAAAACATATTAGAAGTTATAGTATGGAAACTATAAAAGTCAGTTTAGCAAAAGAATTAAAAGTTTAAAGATTATAGTTACCTGTATGTTAAAACAAATTACACAACAATATTTTTAGATCAAACAGTATCATCTGTTTGCTTTTAACCATATTACTATGGGTAAGTCAAAGTACACGTCATGACTTTTTAGAGAATTACGTACAAAATTTATTAAACTACTTTATTATTTTTGTATAGAAGTAAACTTGGCATCAAAATATAGTTAATAAATCTAATTTTAACATTATATAAATTTAAAGTTCTTAATTTCCTAAGGAAATATTAAAAATCTCAATCTCCTCTAGTATGAGACTTGTGATGTTTGTTCTCTAGATCTTCCCTCATCACTAATATATTTATCACCCCTCTGAAAGGTATGGAATTTAATGTAAATTACTCATTATGATATAGATATTACTTGGCAAAACATAATTTTCATAATCTTCACTCTCATTTATTTACAGAGCCATAAACTAAGAAATTAGACCCATTTGCCACACCCACCTGTCCCATCCTCTCTTCCACGTATTGCTAATGGCTCTTTCCGACAACTTACATTATATCGTTCCTTGTTTTTCATGTATATTTTTTATTTATTATTATTATAAAAGTTACTAAAATGTAAAAATTAGAAACTTATTAGGTTAGAAAGGTAATCAAAAATAATAATAATTCTTCACGAGTCTGCTCATACATTATGTCATTCAGTATGGTAAATAAAGTTATGCTTTCACTGGAGTGACCTGCAACTTGTGTGGTAAGATAATTTGTTAGACACAGTTCAAAGGGCAATAAAACAATAAAATTAAGTATAAACAGACTTAAACTTTTATGAACCTTAAGCTATTTAGAATAAACAAATGTAGTTTCCTGTTACAATTTTCAACCATTTTAAAAAGAAAAAAAGGGTAATTTAGAATTATTTCATAGTTTTTTTTTATGGTGGTTAAGAGGTTGATCAAATTGACTGAGTTCATATTGAGTTAGGGTAGAGAAAATAACAGATACAATATAAAGTTTAAAAAAAAACGTTTGATATTTATTTAGGAGGTTTTAGAGGCTACATAAATAAAATTTGAAGAATCTTTAGATAAAGAAAAGTATTTTTAATATTAACATGAAAATCACTCAAAATAGTTGACACCTTGACTCTGTATATTCACTGACAAATCTTTAATAAAAAATGCTTGATTAAAATGATTTTTTTGTGTGAGCGAAAGACTTGTAATATTTATTGAAAGCTTGCCAAATTTAATGAACATACACATAGCATTCTAAAAGCTATAATATAGAAACTCTGATAGTTACTTTGGGGTCAAAGGTCAATGGAATCCACTGACCCCATAGCAAGAGGGTTATCAATATCAGAATTGATGTATTTGATTCATCACCTAAAAACTGTTAGCTAACCAAAATTAACCTATTCACACTAGATCCCTTCTAACCGACTGAGAAAACAAGTAAATATTAAGGTAAAAAAAATAGATGAAAAACTCCAGTAGAATACGCAGTCTGTATTTCATACTTGAGTTTTGGTTCAGTAAGAATGAAGAACACCAATCAGTTTGAAAGAAAGTATTATGGACTAAAAACATCCAGAACAATGTGTCACACGTTATTAAAATAAACTTTTAAGTATGATATTAGTATTTATTCATGTTTACAATGTAACTTAAAACTAACTGTTCACATATTTTTCATTAGTTTACCATTTGACAAACTCTTTAGCCCATTAAGTAGTAATACAGTACAATTTCTAGGCATAAACTGTGCTGAAAACTTATTCAACTCATTAAACTAACTTGCCATCTTCAGTGAGTTAATTGTCTTGTTGAGCCTTCACATCCTATCATTCTATAAACTGTGTTTTACTCAATGTGCATGCTGTATCATGGGTAAAATTTGCATGAGGTTAGTGTAGTTGTTTCTTAAGCTACTTTTGTGATAGCTTGTATGTATGTATTATGTCAACATTTTTTATTTTTTTTAGATACCCAAAAACCTATCTGCACATTACTGTGAATTGGTTGGAGCGAGCCCTAGCAGCAGACCCAACCCAGCTGACTTTATCAGCAAGTGTCGTTCAAATGGTGGCTATTTCAAAAACAGTTTTGTTGATACAATGATATTTATTGAAGAAATGCAGGTGAAATAATTTATGATTTTTAAGAATTTTATTACTGTTATTATTAATTTTATAAGAATTAAGTTCATTCTTTTAAAGTATGTAAGTTAGTTTTTACCGGATAATTATATTTTTAGAAAATATTTTTCAATGTTTTTATATGGGTTAAATTGCTTCAGGCATCTGTTGCAATGCTAAAACAGCATTTTTGGCCTTTGTGTCATACTTCTCACAAGTTAAATTCTTATTGTCTTATAATAAGCAAGTCTTTATTTAAACATCTCTGTAAAGTACATTTTGTCTGAAATTCTTATTGTCGTAATAATAAGCAAGTCTGTATTTAAACATCTCTGTGAAGTACATTTTGTCTGAAATTCTTATTGTCGTAATAATAAGCAAGTCTTTATTTGAACATCTCTGTAAAGTACATTTTGTCTGAAATTCTTATTGTCTTATAATAAGCAAGTCTTTATTTAAACATCTCTGTAAAGTACATTTTGTCTGAAATTCTTATTGTCGTAATAATAAGCAAGTCTGTATTTAAACAACTCTGTAAAATACATTTTGTCTGAAATTCTTATTGTCGTAATAATAAGCAAGTCTTTATTTGAACATCTCTGTAAAGTACATTTTGTCTGAAATTCTTATTGTCGTAATAATAAGCAAGTCTGTATTTAAACATCTCTGTAAAATACATTTTGTCTGAAATTCTTATTGTCTTAAGAATAAGCAAATCGTTATTTGAACATCTCTGTAGAGTAGCTGTTCTTTCCATTTTTCGAAGTTCCACTACATGTGTGGTTGAAGGAATCTAGTTGTTAGATATTACAAATCAAAGTTAAAATTTGATGACATTGGTGTTATTATCTGTGTAACAAAGCTTACTTGTTAAACCAGTGTATATTATGGTACCCTGCTTCCATTTCATTGTAAGAATGATCTGAAAAGGACCTATACTTTTCATGGAGGTAAGAAGAATGTGTAGTTCCCATGATGTGTAGTTCTAATGAGGGTCAGTAGCTCAATCCACCCATAAGTGCATTGTTTGTTACAATACAGTCTACTGCTGTTTGACCAGAAAACAGATTTTTATTTAAGCTAAAGTTTTTTATTGCAATAAAACTGGGGGTGTGTAACTATTAGTTGGATAAGAATAAATGAAAATGTTTGATTTTTGGAAATTCTGCATTAAAATTAGAAGGTAGAAATGCATGGTATGCTGTGCATACTACAAATGGATAATTGTCTCCTCTGACTTGTAATTAATATGTTTATAAGTACACCCTAAATTATGTTTTGCTTTGCTTCTAGCAACTCAAAACTGCCTCAGTGGCTTGAGTGACTTTTCCAAATATATGCCATGATCCTTTTCTTCAGTCATGCTAATTGAATGACTTCCCATCTTTATTAAAAATGTAATCCACATTATGATAGCCCAAATACATAGTCTCACATTTACAGTAATTAAGGGTTATTTGACAAAGATTTGTCCAACTACCAACAGAAAAGAGAAAAAAATTGTTATATATAATTATGAAAAATCATCTACCCTAATGAAGTAAAGACTAAAAATATAACACTTAACATGCTAGAAGTTAGAGCTAGGTGAATTAATTAATTAATCGATTACCTACGAGCAGTGGTCATATCAATTAATGTTTTGTAAACTAATTGATTAATTGAAATCATAATTAATTAATTATTGTCACAAAGATAATCAACTAATTGAAATTAGTGTGTCTGATTATTACTGTTTTTTATTATTACAAAAAGTAATTGTAATATTGCCTTTATGTGTGTTGTTAAACACAAAGCTACATATTAGGGGGGGGTGGGGGGCTCATGATTTAAGGGTTTCAGGTTCAATTCCCATTACCACTGAACTTGCTCATCCTATATTTGTTATTACAAAGTAAGGAGAAAACACTAAAATAATGACCCAAAGGCCCTCCCCAAGAAGGGCTGGGGTGGAACATAAGAAATGGCAGATAAGGCAGAACATAACATACCTGAATAATCAAATCCACCAAAGTGGAAAGAGGGCTGGCCATGTCCCCCGAAATGACATGCGACTGAGAAGCATATTCAGGAGGGGGGAAAATGTTGTCCATATCCAAAACTTCCCAATCATTAAAAACCATGATAGGACAATCATCAGTTTGTTCTGATTGTTGCATGAAATACCGTGGTTTTATTGAGTTACAGTATTTGTAAACATGAGTTTTTTATTATTATGTTCACCATATAAACTCATCATTAAATCAGATAGTTAAGTTTAATGTTTTGAGAGTATGGTAGAGACTGCAAAATATTCTGATGACTCAAATATTCAATGAATATTATTTTTTGCATTTATGTTATTGAAACAAAATTACATGAATAAAATTGGCTGTAAATGGCTACTTAATTATATATAATTGCAATTATGATATGTTTCAAATAAAACGTTTTCCTTATCTAATTATCTATTTATTCTATTTACGGAAGGTGAGTGTGGGATTATTACATATTTTAAAAGCAAACATACTGATAACTGTGTGGTGGTATATATTCAGCTCAACTGTTAAGTAGAAAATGTTCATATTCTCTTTAAAAAAACAGTGGCAAAATATTTTTTTAGACAGAAAATTTGTTTTTTTTTACAAGAAAGAGTTAAATCCTCATAGAATAACGCAGTATTTGAAAATATTATGGGGGAAGGGTTTGTTGTGGTGTGTAATAATCGATTAATTGAATGTAATCAATAAACAACCTGATCAGTTAATCTAATGTAATTGATTAGCAGGTACTACTATTAACTCAGCGTACAACTACATTAGCTTATGTGAGATTCATTTAGTCATATTACGGGTTTTACACATTTGCTGCCACGAGTAGTATTAATAAATTAAGTAGAAATAAAATTAAACATTCCAGGAGTGCTGAGGAGCAGTCACTGTATCCAAAACTGATATACAAGAGAAATTTGGCTTTGAAACATAATTGTCTGTGACCCACCAGTGTGTTACGTGGTCCATAACTAAAAGTTGATTGTGACCCACTGTTGGGGCACATGGCAGTATATGTGTTAAGTTAAGCCAGTGTAATTTCTCAGTAACTTGGTACAATTTAATTCATTTTTATAAAACTTGTAAGTGTATACCTGTTTTGTATTAAAACATTACATAAGAAAGAAAAATCAAGGAATGCATGGATTGCAGCCATTCGCGGAACAGATTGAGAACCTTCTGTTAAAAGTTTTTTATGCTCACAACATTTTATTGAATTTTATATAGACAATTTCTTTATGATGTCAGCTTAAAGAATTCCATACCCACTTATTTTAAATTTTTCTGTCATTTTTACAGAAGGTAAATCAACTTAAAAACTCATCTATATATCTTTTTGCTACTTGTCTGCAATTTAAATCATTATCAGTTTTACATACTCATTAATGGTATTAGAATAAAAAGTTCAAATTTCTTAAGGTATATCAAAATAAAAAACATACACTTAAGATTGCATATAATGAAAATTTTGTGCAAGACATGTTACTTGCATGTGAAGAAGAGCAAATGTTCAAAATAGCATATTGAAAATCAGTTCATTTTGTTTATTGCATACACTGTAACATGAATGTAGTTTTTGAATATATTTGTCAGTATGAATTAATTTGAAAACAATAGTTTTAAATGCAATTACCATATTGGCCCGATTATAAGGCAATGTTTTTGATTAATGATTAGGGCCTAGCATGGCCAGTGGTTAAGGTGCTTGGCTCCTAATCTTCAGGTCGCGGGTTTGAATCCCCATCACACCAAACATGCTTGCCCTTTCAGCTGTGGGGGCATTATAATGGTACAGTCAATCCCACTATTCATTGGTAAAAGAGTAGCCCAATAGTTGGGGGTGGGTGGTGATGACTAGCTGCCTTCCCTCAAGTTTTACACTGCCAAATTAGGGATGGCTAGTGCAGATAGCCCTCGTGTAGCTTTGTGCAAAATTCAAAACCAACAGTTAATGATTAGGCTGTAAAATTCATAGTCACCTTATAATTGTGGCTGATCACAGGTCCCTGCCCCCTGCTCTAGCCTGTTGCATTCCTGAATGTCCAGATAGCATCTGTCAATGCATGTATGCCAGATGTTTGCTCAGTGTCATCGCTGTTTTTTACAGCTAATCCAGGCTCTTCAATTATAGTGTTGATTTTAAGGTCCTAAAAAAAAAGGATGTTATGGCACTCAATATTTTTTTATTCTCATGGTTTCTAAAAAAGGTGGGGGGTCGCCTTATATTCAAGATCTCCCTATAATCGGGTCAATAAAGGTATGCAAGATATGTTATAATATCAGTTATAACAGTCATAAGAAATCATATGACTGGTTAATATGAATAACAAAGATTTAAATTGTTACGACAGCAGAAGTAATGCGACACTGGTAGCATGCATGCGGTAGTTTCTCGAAGGATTATGAATTTGCCCGCCAGCTCGAGTGTGATCTAGATGCCCTCTTTTTTAGTATATATATAAGCCTGGCAAAGA